GTAAGATCTTCATTGCAAGTTATATGTTGTTCATTTCGTGGCATTCTAGAAAGTCTTTTTCCATTTCAAAGTTCTATGATCCCTTACAGATAATCTGTTCTTAAAAGCAGGATGCATAATCATTTCTAACACTAGAAACAAAACCTCTGTTCTGTTTCCAAATGCCCTTCCCTTACAAAGTGAAAGTGAGACCATACCCAGCGGCTCAGCTAAAAAGTTTCTACCTTCCTCAGCCATAGGAGTCTATATACCTCCAGCTTCTCTCCATTTCCCTCTAGCCAGAATAGGACACATCGTACCTGAGTTGTGCCATCTTCTCCAGGCCCTCTGGACTGATGCGGTCCCTGGAGAGTAGGTTACTGAGCTGCAGCTCCTGGCTGTCGGCCACCCGGAGGAGCCTGTGCAGCTCCTGCTGCTGCATGTTCCTCACGTGCTGCTCTACCTCCTCAGGACTCATGGTGCCGGCAGGAAGAGGGCTACACACATACTGCCCTGACGGAGTTGGGTAGCCCGGGTAATAAGGCCCTGGGTACACACCATTTGTAGGGCCCAGTGGGTACTGTAGAGGGTTATAGCCCACATAGGGATACTGGGAGGCAGGGCCTGGTGTCCGCGGGTAATAATAGGGGTTGTCAGAGTTTTGAAATTTATAGTAAGATGCTTGAGCCTGGCGTGAGTCACCCCAAGATGTAGGGCTGACTTCATCATCAGTGTCCAAGAAATGCAGCTGGGGCATCTGAGTCTTTAGAGCAGGTTTCTGATCAGGATTATTTGGGTCCCATAATCGGCGTGTGGTGCCTCCACGGCCCCAACTCCGAGGACCCTTACTACCAGATCCGAACAAAAGCCGAGGTCCCAAAGGTGTGGCCTCTGGAGAACCTGCTGAATTGACAGACAGGGTGGTATGGGCAGGCAGAATCAGAATGCCACGACCGCGACCCCGAAGTTCCTGTTTCAGGTTTTTGGACTCCTGCTTCTCAGAGCCTTTGCTCCCGCTGCTCAAGCCTTTGTCAGGGTTTCCTCTATCCATATCATCCCTGGCCAGCCTTGCCACGGGAGACTCTTTGTTCATGGTTTCTGCATCAAAAGTGACATGAAGAGTGCCTCGATTTTCTTTACCATTGCTTTTCTGCTCACCCTCCCCGCGGCCAGACCAGTTTCTTTCTAAATGTTTCTTCCTTTCTGAACTTCTCCTGGGTCCTAATCCATCAGGCTCATCAATTTTGTCCTCATCTAAGGAATCGGTTGAGGACAGAGATACTTGCTTCTTCAGTCGTGGCCTCTCCTTGGTTTTATCCTGCCGGCGGCGGCGACATCCATTATCAGTGAGGCCAGCTCCCTCAGCGCTGTTGTTGCTACCAGCTGAGCTGGTACTGCAAGTGCGGTAACGATTCCTTCGTTTGTCTGAGCGGGAGTAGCGCTTCGCCGAACCTGGCTTCCCCTGGGCCGGGTCATCGCTCGTTTTCTTCATCCCCTCCCCTTTCTCAATCCTCTTTCCTTTTTCTCCCTTTGCAGCCCTAACTCTGTCACCACCTGGGCTCTTTTCTGTTTCAGCCCTGTCTGGTTTATTCAAACCTTCCTCTTTCACAACATTTCCCCTACACTCAGCTTCCTCCACTCTCAGTTCTTCTACCTGGTTGAGGATTTCTTCCTCCTCTACCCGACTGGCTGATTCTTTGCTAACAGTCTGCAAACGCCGTCCAGGCTGATAGATCTGCAGGTCCGGTTTCTTTGTTCTTTTGATAATTTTTAGACTACGATCCTCTTGTCCAGCAGTCCTAGGAAAGGATTCCTGACCCCGATTATTTTCTGGGTCTATACCATTCTGCGGTTGGTTGGTGGGTTCCTTGTAGACGTCTTTAATAGGTTGTGTACCATTTCCAACAGCAGAGGAATCTCGGTCATTAACAATTTCATCCTTGAATTCTTCACTCCCAGAGGCTTCCTTGGTTTTGGGCTTATTCCTTAGCCGAGAAAGACCAGGTTTATAGATTTCCAGATCTGGACGCCTATTATCTTTGCGCTGCCTGGGCTCCTTTAATTCCTTCATGTTTTCTGTTATGTTGGGGAAAGTTGGGGAGGGAAAGGTAGAAGATAAGAATAAAGAAGGAAGGTGGGGGAAAGATTGTCATTCTTGTTAAGTAACAGAAAAAGTCAAGAATTATACATCCACATGCTAATATTGGTAGGCAAGAAAGGACACTTCTGTAGAAGCAGAAATTCTGGGTTTACAATACTTGTTCAACAATTGATAAGGCTAAGAACCTAACTGTGTTGGGGCTACCTAGTTAGGTGAAGAGAAGGGAGAGAACCCATCTCCTTATGTGTTACCCAAGTCATATTCAGAAATCCAAGATCCCAACCTACCTACCTCATCATTGTTGGAACTAAAGATCTCTAACCTTTTCAGCATTAGACTGTTCTCTGTCTAGAGCGCCTGTGAATACATCTCAGCCTTTTTTTTCTGCCTTTAACTTTTTCCTTGGTGGCTAAGTTCTTTTAACATAACACTAGGGGGGAAAATGAGGAGAAAAACGGGGGTATTATAACAATCATTAATCCTGGACATCTCTCGGGAACAAAATTGCAACTCTATTCTTCAAACTTCACGAGGACAATTCTCTTCTTCAGGATACCAATTACCAAATAACACACCTGCTGGTGAAGCAGTCAGCAGTTCCTTTCACACTCTTCAACTTCACTCATAGCAACAGCAGCTCCCAGAGTCACCCCAAGAAAATACTGCTCAGACTATCATATTAGAATACCGAAACTAACTGCTACTGTGATGATGGAATTATGAGAAGAAAAAAATTCCATAAGGGAACTTTTCCTGGATGCGGATGAAAAGATTGTGACATATCCTCAAGATCCCAAGAACTGGGCACTCAAGAATAATAATAATACAGGACTTCAGAAACCACTCTCTGAGCTCCATAAACTTACTAAACAACAAACAGATAAGCAAGTATGTGGTTTTTAAAAAGTATCTGTTACCACTATCAAAGTAACCACTAAAGATTTCAGTGGAAAACTGGAAGAATTAGTGAGAATATTATCAAGTACACAGATAGAATGCTACATAAATTACTAGTATAAGGCTGGAGTGGTGGCTCACGCCTGTAATCCCAGCACTTAGGGAGGCCAAGGTGGGCAGATCACGAGGTCAGGAGTTCGAGACCAGCCTGGCCAACATAGTAAAACCCCATCTCTACTAAAAATACAAAAATTAGCCGGGTATGGTGGCGTGCACTGGTAGTCCCAGCTACTTGGGAGGCTGAGGCAGGAGAATTGCTTGAAACTGGGAGGCGGAGGTTGCAGCGAGACAAGATCGAGCACTCCAGCCTGGGCAACAGAGCCTGACTGTCAAGTCTGTCTCAAAATAAATAAAATAAAATGAAATCCTAGTATAGACCAGGTTTAGCAGCTCACACCCATAATCCCAGCCCTTTAGGCTGAGGCGGGAGGATTGCTTCAGGCCAGGAATTCTAGATCAGCCTGGGCAACATGGCAAAACCCGGTCTCTGTAAAATACACAAAAAATAGCCAGGTGTGGCGGCGCAGGCCTGTAATTCCAACTACTCAGAAGGCTGAGGTGGGAGGAGCGCTTGAGCCCAGGAGGTGGAGGCTACTAGTTAGCTGAGATCCCTCCACTGCACTCCAGCCTGGAAGACAGAGTGAGATCCTGTCTCAAAAAAATAACAACAATAAAAAGTTTTTAATCCAAGTAGTGTTCTCTAAATATGAATGCAAACGAGCCCATACAGTAACAAAACAAAGAAAAAAAGAGACTGAGGTTTAAGACAGTATTTCACTATTTTCAAAAGTTTAAAAGACAGCTTCATCAAGTATGAATAAAGATAAACCGGCTTAACCCAAGAATAGCTCACCCTCGGCAGTCTTTAACTTGGAGGGGGGCAGGTGAGATGGAGAGAGCTATCACTACTACTTTCTAGAGCAGCGGGAGAAAACATCCTTAACAGTCCAATTCTGTTAACCAACGAAAACGAATTCCACAGACTGGCAGCAAACCTAGAGAAGGCTCCGATCACAGCTACCGTTCTACACAACTCTACTGCGTATTGCAGGGGTGGTGAGACACTAGAATCTTTCTTACTTTCCTGATGTGGCTGGAGACTTGAAATTAGCTTGCAAATTGAACATTCTCTCTAATAAAAACTGCTCGCACACATGCCAGGGTCAAACCCGGAGTCTAGAGATCCCGGATCCCTCCAGTGGCGCAGCTTTCGGAACCCTGTCTTGGGTGGAAAAGTTGAGCAAGGAAGTCGCAAGCTGCTAAACGTTTCTCCCCAATTCCTCCTCTCCGACGCTAAGGCGGTGGCCGGGGCCGGCCCGAGGAAGGCGGCCTGGAGGACCCTACGCCCGAGGCCTCCACCCGATCCCGCTCCTTTCCGCGTCTCCCGACGCCTGAGAACCGGCGGGCGGGTCTGAGAGCGCTGGGGCAAAAGGGAACAGTCACCTTCGCGGCGAGAAACAGGGTGGAGGTAGGAATTCGGGCCAGGCTTTCCCAGAGTGCGCCAGGACTGGCGGAGCTCGACCCAGCACCGACCCGCGGGCGAGACAGGGCAGCGACGGTCCGCCGCGGCCCCGGTGCCCAGGGCTGGGGGAAGGGGCGGGGGCTCCGGAGCCGCGGGCCGAGTGGGGAGGAGGCAAGAGGAGGAGGAGAGGGAGGCGGGGCGGGCAGGCCCGGCCCAGGAGCTGGGCGGCGCGACTCACCTCTGCTCCCGGCCTGCGGGGCCAGAGTAGCCAGGATCCCGCGCAGCTCCGACGCGGAGATCCGCACACGCTCCAGCCCTTCCGCCATCTTCGCTGCTGCTGCTACAGTTGCAGCTACTCCGCCACCGCCGCGCGCAGCCAGGAAACCACCACAGTCGGGCGACGAGCGCGGTCGCCCACCTCCCAGCCTGTCCCCGCCCCCTTCCGCCCTTCCTTTCGGAACGACGGTGGCCGCGCTGGGAGGAAAAGCGTCCGACGCCAGTTCCAGAGGGGCGGGGCCGGAACGCGAGCCTGGGCGGGGCAGGCGGGCGCTGCGCGTGCGCAGAGGTGTGGCCGGGGAGGCGCGCGGAGGCTGGAGCTGGAAGCTCGGCGCCCGTGAGCTGAGGTGAGACGAGGCGTCGTCGTGCCAGGCCAGGCAGGCGTTCGCGGCGGTAGCTGCCATTGCTGTTGTCTTGGCCACCGAGGAAACTGGTGCTAGTCGGGGACCCGGGTTGACGGAGACACCCCACAGCCTGGTCTCCTCTGATCGCCTTAGGCCAGGGTCTCCCGCCAAAGGCCCGGGACTAGCGCCGCGGGCCATTACTTGGGATCTTGAAGATGTGCTAAGAGTAGTTATTACTATTCCCATTTGTTTTCATTTTTTTGAGGCGGAGTCTGGCTCTGTCGCATAGGCTGGAGTGCAGTGGCGCGATCTCGTCTCACTGCAGCCTCCGCCTCCCGGGTTCAAGCGATTAACCCGCCGCAGCCTCCCTACTAACCCCATTTTTAAGATTAGAACACTGAATCCCAGAGAACGGAAGTAAATTGCCCAGGGTGACGCCGTGGATAAGAACCTACCAGAGCCTTTTTCAGTTCAGCAAGCCATCTCCCCAAACCCCTGGCATTTTTTTTTTTTTTTTTTTTTTAGACAGAGCCTCACTCTGTCGCCTGGGTTGGAGTGCAGTGGTGTGAACTCGGGGTCACTGCAGCCTCGGCCTCCCGGTTTCAAGCGATTCTTCTGCCTCGGCTTCCCAAGTAGTTGGGACTACAGGTGCGCGCCACCACACCCAGCTAAATTTTCTATTTTTAGTAGAGACGGTATTTCACCCAGGCCGGTCTTTATCTTTTGACCTTGTGATCCGCCTGCCTGCATCCCAAAGTGCTGGGATTACAGGCGTGAGCCACCGCCCCCAGCCCCGCCCCCTGGCTGTTAAAAAATAGATACGATATAGTTGGAATCGTGTGGAAGGAAGTACATCAGGAGGTATAGAAGTCGATTTGGGACCTGTAATCCCGGCGACTCAGGTGGCTGAGAAGGGCGGATCACTTAAACCCGGGAAGCAGACGGAGGCTGCAGTAAGCCGAATCATGCCACTGCACTCCAGCCTGGGCAACCGAGCGAGACTCAGCCAAAAAAAAAAAGTCGATTTGGGAGTTTCTGTGTCACTATAGATTCTTGAAAAAATTACTTCTCTGTATCTAAGGTTGACTTTTTAATTTCCCATCTTTAAAATTTAACTAGGCCTGAAGATTGGTACTTGAACCTGTGTTGGGAGAGCTGTGCAGAGGTGAAACTCCCTTCCCCAAGAATGCCTGCCTCTACCTGTTGCTCCTCCACAGCCCCACAGGCCTTTAGACTGCACCCATCACAGGATAGTTACCAATTATTCCTTAGTCTAAACTGAAAGAATTGCAGCAACTTCTGACAGAACTCGTTCAGTTCCTTTTTCGTGACACCAGGTTAAGCATAAGGAGAAAGTCATTATGTGGGTGAAAAGATTCAACAGTTGAGAAGAGGAACAATTTGAGTGGTCAAAGCAAATGAAAACCTTTGCCATCATATTTGAGAGAATAGGAAAAAGTGTTAAAAAATAATGTTTCACATTGAAATTTGAGAGGTCATTACATTATTTTTTTTAAGATTGAAAAATAATGGAAAACAAGAAAACTTTCTTAGGACAAATGGCACTGCCAATTTAATGCAGCAGTGTCAGTGAACTGCAGATTAGATATGCCAAAAGTTAAATCAGTTCAAGAAAATTTACCAGAACTGAGAGGGAAAAGGTCATAGATAAAAACTGAGACACAAAGATGGGAGACACGGAGAATAGGTTCAAAAAATTAATAATTAGGGGCGGGGCATAGTGGCTCACGGCTGTAATCCCAGCACTTTGGGAGGCCAAAGCGGACAGATCACGAGGTCAGGAAATCGAGACCATCCTGGCTAACACCGTGAAACCCCACCTATACTAAAAAAAAACAAAACTTAAAAAATTAGCCAGGCATGGTGTCACACACCTGTGGTCCCAGCTACTCGGGAGGCCTAGGCAGGAGAATTGCTTGGACCCAGGAGGTGGAGGTTGCGGTGAGCTGAGATTGCACCACTGCACTCCAGCCTGGGTGACAGAGTGAGACTTCATCTAAAAAAAAAAAAAGAAAAATTAATAATTAAATATGAGTTCCAGAAGGGGATAACAGAGCTGACTGCAGAGAAGCAGTAATCAAATAGTACAAGAAAATTTACTAAGTTGGTGGAAATTTTTGAATTCTCAGATTTAAAGGATTCATTAAATACTAGGTAAAAAGAAATGAAAAGAAAGTCAACCATATTTAGGCCTGTATCACAAGTGAAAGCTGCTGAGTTGTTTGGTTTTGGGGGTTTTTTTTTTTTTTTAGATGAGTTTTACTCTTATTGCCCAGGCTGGAGTGCAGTGGCAGGATCTTGGCTCACTGCAACCTCCACCTCCCAGGTTCAAGCAATTCTCTTCCTCAGCCTCCCGAGTAGCTGGGATTACAGGCATTCACCACCATGCCTGGCTAATGTTTTGTATTTTTAGTAGAGACAGAGTTTCACCATATTGACCAGACTGGTCTCAAACTCCCGACCTCAAGTGATCCACCCACCTCAACCTCCTAAATTGCTAGGATTACAGGCAAGAGCTACCGTGCTCAGCCCTGAATTCAATTTCTAAAAGAAATAATTGTACAGGTCACATTTACTGAGCACAAATTAATAAAACTAGAAATGAATAGCCACAAATTAAGCAAAAAAATTCTAACAATTTGGAATTTTTTTAAAAACACAGTTTTTCCCATGTGCATGTTCAAAAAGTAAGCAGACAAAAAAAAATAATAATAAAATAAACACCAATTTTAGGCCAGGCTCGATGGCTTACTCCTGCAATCCCAGCACTTTGGGAGACTGAGGCAGGTGGATCACTTTAGGTCAGGAGTTCAAGACCAGCCTGGCCAACATGGGGAAAACCCGTCTCTACTAAAGCTACAAAAACTAAAGCTGGGCAACGTGGCTCACACCTGTAATCCCAGCACTTTGGGAGGCTGAGACAGGCAGATCATGAGGTCAGGAGATAGAGACCATCCTGACTAACATGATGAAACCCCATCTCTAATAAATACAAAAAATTAGCCAGACATGGTGGCATGCACCCTTAGTCCCAGCTTCTCGGGAGGCTGAGGGAGGAGAATCTCTTGAACCCGGGAGGCAGAGGTTGCAGTGAGCCAAGATCGCGCCACTGTACTCCAGCCTGGGCAACAGAGTGAGACTCCATCTCAAAAAAAATAAAAATAAAAACTAGCTGGGCATGGTAGCAGGTGCCTGTAATCCCAGCTATTGCAGAGGCTGAGACAGAAGAATTGCTTGAACCCAGGAGGTGGAGGCTGCAGTGAGCCAAGATTGTGCCACACTGCACTCCAGCCTAGGTAATAGATAGAGACTCTGTCTCAAAAACCAAACAAAAACACCAATTTTAAATAATTAATGGGCAAAAAAGAAAAAGACTAATATCATGGATTATTTAGAAATTAAGATAATGAACATATTGTGTAATGGAATCCATGCTTTTAAAGCAGTACTCAGGCCGGGCATGGTGGCTCACACTTGTAATTTCAGCACTTTGGGAGGCCGAGGTGGGCGGATCACCTGAGGTCAGGAGTTCAAGACCAGCCTGGCCAATATGGAGAAACCCTGTCTTAAAAAATAAATAAATAGGCCGGGCGCGGTGGCTCATGCCTATGATCCAAGCACTTTGGAGGCCAAGGCGGGTAAATCATCTGAGGTCGGGAGTTCAAGACCAACCTGAACAACATGATGAAACCCTGTCTTAAAAGACAAAAAAAAAACAACTGTACTTTAAATAAATAGAAGAGTTCATTCAGAAATAAAATAGAAACTAATATATACACATTTCTGGCAAAAAAATAATTTTTAAAAAAGGGACATCCTCTTTGATGTCTCATAAACAATTCAGACTTAACTAATCAAATCTGATTTTCCTGTCAAATACTTATTTCTTCTCCTGTTTTAAATCTTAACAAATTGTACCACCATTTAAGTCAAAACCCAGGAGTTACTCTTTTTAAAAAAAATTTTTGGCCAGGCATGGTGGCTCACACCTGTAATCCCAGCCCTTGGAGAGGCTGCAGCAGATAGATCACCTGAGGTCAGGAGTTCAAGACCAGCCTGACCAACATGGTGAAATCCCCTCTCTGCTAAATATAAAAAATTAGCCAGGCGTGGTGGCGCACACCTGTAATCCCAGCTACTTGGGAGGCTAAGGCAGGAGAATCACTTGAACCCAGAAGGTGGAGGTTGCAGTGAGCCAAGATTGCACCATTGCACTCTAGCCTGGGCAACAAGAGCAAACCCCATCTCAAAAAAAAAAAAAAAAAAAAAATATTGCAGAGGCCAGGTTTCCCTGTATTCCCCAGGCTGGTCTCAAGTTCCTTGCCTTTGCCAATCTTCCCACCTTGGACTTTCAAAGTGTTGGGATTACAGGTGTGGGCCACCATGCCTGGCCCAGGAGTTATTCTTCACCCCTCTATCTTCCATTCAATCCACTATCAGGATATGTCTCTTCTGTTCCCATAATGAACATGTATGGAATCATCTCCCCAGCATTCTCCCCTTTATTTTCACTTGGAAAATGCCCCTTATTCCCACTCAGAAGTACTTTTTCTTTGTTTTCTTTCCTCCATCACTCCTTTATTTTGCTATTTTCCCCTCAGGTGCAGATAATTGAGTCAGTCACACTGTCATTAACAAGGCTTTTCTCATTTTATCTTTTTTCTCTTCATTCTAGTTCCCACTCACGTTCCTTCCCTCCCTCCTTAGGTAGACAGTCTTATGTGTTAGCTATATGTCTTTGAATATACATGTATCTTTGAATAATATATAGTGTTGTTTTATGTATGTATGTCTTTTAAATGTACCTAATTGATACTGTGTTGATCTCATTCTGTTTCTTTTTCATATTTATGTAAATACTTCTGACTACTGCATACTGTTGTCTTAAATGACCTCATACCCTGGCCACTGGTCCGGGGCCAATATGGGCCAGAGTCCTTACCACAAATTTTTTTAACTGAAACTGAGAAAGAAAATTCCTCTCCAGTGTGGAAACCAAAAAATGTAAAACATACGAGCTGTCAGCAGCCATGTGCCACGGTTCCACTGTCTGCAGTGAAACAGAAGCCGACATGCAGAGGTGAGAGACTAAGAGCCTGGGAAGCTCTCAAACCCCTGGTTCTAGTTGTTTCTGATGCTCCATATTCCTGCCCTTACCATGGTTTGTCAACTTTTCATGATTCCATGAGCTAGTAAATCTCAACACCTTCATCTTCTGCCTTCTAAGGTAGTTCAGACTGAAGTTCTCTCTCCTAAGAGAGACTATTTACTAAGAGGACTATTTACAACCTCCAAAATATATCTTGTTTTTGATACTGAGTTTTTTGTTTTCTGGGTTTTTTTGTTACTGTTGAGAGACAGGGTCTACATCTAGGAATGAAATTGCTAGCTATTTAATAGGATGATTCTGTGTTCAATTTTTGAGGAAGCACCATACCGTTTACCATAGAACTATCACTACAGGCACCCACCACCACACACGGCTAATTTTTGTATGTTTGGTAGAGACAGGGTTTCACCATGTTGCCCAGGCTGGTCTTGAACTCCTGAGTTCAAGCAATCTGCCCATCTCAGCCACCTAAAGTACTGGTATTATAGGTGTTAGCCACTGTGCCCAGCCAAGGGGGCTTAATTGACATTTATTCGTAAAAATATTGGGTCTTCAGGCCTGGCACGGTTTTTTGGGGGCTTTAAAATTTTTTTTTTGAGACGGAGTCTCACTCTGTCACCCAGGCTGGAGTGTAGTGGCACAATCATGGCTCACTGCAGCCTTTGCCTCCCAGGTTCAAGAGATCCTCCTGCCTCAGCTTCCCAAGTAGCTGGAACTACAAACATGTGCCACAACACCCAGCTAATTTTTGTATTTTTAGTAGAAACGGTTTCACCATATTGGCCAGGCTGGTCTTGAACTCCTGAGCTCAAGCAATCCACACACCTCAGCCACCTAAAGTGCTGGGATTCCAGGCGTGAGCCATGGCACCCAGCAATTTTTGCTTTTTTTAAATGGAGATGGGATTTCACCATGTTAGTCAGTCTCAAACTCCTGACCTCAAGTGATCCACTTGCTTTGGCCTCCAAAAGTGCTGGGATTACAGGCATGAGCCACCACACCCAGGCAACAGTTTTTGAGAGACAGGGTCTTGCTCTCTCAGTGGTACAATCATAACTCACTGCAGCCTTGAACTCCTGAGTTTTAGTAATCCTCCTGCCACCGTGCCCAGCCAAGGGGGCATATTTGACATTAAAAAAATATTGATTCAGCTGGGCGCGGTGGCTCACGCCTATAATCCCAGCACTTTGGGAGGCCGAGGCGGGTGGATCATGAGGTCAAGAGATAGAGACCATCCTGGTCAACAAGGTGAAACCCCGTCTCTACTAAAAATACAAAAATTAGCTGGGCATGGTGGTGCGCGCCTGTAGTCCCAGCTACTCAGGAGGCTGAGGCAGGAGAATTGCTTGAACCCAGAAGTGGGGAGGTTGCGGTGAGCTGAGATCGTGCCATTGCACTCCAGTCTGGGTAACAACAGCGAAACTCCATCTCAAAAAAAAAAAAATTGAGTCTTCAGGCCTGGCATGGCAGCTCATGCCTCTAATCCCAGCACTTTGGGAGGCTGAGGCAGGTGGATCACTTGAGCTCAGGAGGTCTAGCCCAGCCTGGACAACATGGCAAAACCTCTCTACAAAAAATACAGAAATTAGCCAGGCATGGTGGCACGATGCACCTGTGATCCCAGCTACTCGGGAGGCTTAGGTGAGAGGATTGCTTGAGCCTGGGAGGCAGAGGTTGCAGTAAGCTGAGATCATGCCAATGCACTCCAGCCTGGACAACAGAGTCCAGCTCTGTCTTGATAAATAAATAATGCCCCCAATTCATTTATACTTCTTTACAGTGGAATTTCTGGCAACTTTGATAAAGGAATTCTAAAGTTCACGTGGAAGAATTGATGTGTGAGAAAAGCCAATTAATTTTAGAAAGAGTAATCAAGGGAGAATTTATTAATATAGTGTGTAATAAGAAAAGGAGGCCAGGAGCGGTGGCTCACAACTGTAATCCTGGCACTTTGGGAAGCCGAGGTGGGTGGATCACAAGGTCAGGAGGTAAAGACCAGGCTGGCGAAGATGGTGAAACCCTGTCTCTACTAAAAGAAAAATACAAAAATTAGTGGGGTACGGTGGCACGCGACTGTAATCCCAGCTACTCAGGAGGCTGAGGCAGGAGAATCGCTTGAACCCAGGTGGCAGAGGTTGCAGTGAGCCGAGATTGCACCACTGTACTCCAATCTGGGTGACAGAATGAGACTGCATCTCAAAAAAAAAAAAAAAAAGAAAAGGAAAGGAAAAAGAATTGGCAGTCTGACCAATGAAACAAAATTCAATAGCCCAAGCATTCAGAGAATTTAATTTTTGGTAAATATAGCATTTCAGAGGAAAATGATTCCATCAGTAAATGGTGTGTAAAGATTAAGAAGGCCAGGTGTGGTGTCTCACACTTGTAATCTCAGCACTTTAGGGGGCTGAGGCAGGAGGATCACTTGAGCTTAGGGGTTTGAGACCACCCTGGGCAACACAGCAAGATGTCCTCTCTATTAAAATAAAATTTTTTTTTTTTTTTTGACATGGAGTTTTTGCTCTTGTTACCCAGGCTGGAGTGCAATGGCACAATCTCGGCTCACCACAACCTCCACCTCCTGGATTCAGGCAATTCTCCTGCCTCGGCCTCCTGAGTAGCTGGGATTACAGGCACGCACCACCATGCCCAGCTAATTTTTTGTATTTTTAATAGAGACGGGGTTTCACCATGTTGACCAGGATGGTCTCATCTCTTGACCTCGTGATCCACCTGCCTCGGCCTCCCAAAGTGCTGGGATTACAAGCGTGAGCCACAGTGCCCAGCCCTTAAAATAAAAATTTTTTAAAGTAGCCAGGTATGGTGGTGCACACTCACAATCCCAGCTACTTGGGAGGCTGAGGTGGGAAAATCACTTGAGCCCAAGAGTTTGAGGCTGCAGTGAGCCACAGTTGAGCCACTGTATGCCAGCCTGAACAACAGAGTGAGACCTTGTCTCAGAAAAAAATGTTCAGTCACTAGTAATTAATGTAAATTAAAACTACCAGACATAATTAAATTCACGTAAAAATGATACAGCAAGGATGAAGAACACAGGCATGCCATTGAAACTGCCATGGTGGTTATCAGATGTCTTATCAGATGTCTTAGCCTCTTGATACAAAATAACAATTGGGGGCCGGGCACGGTGGCTCACGCCTGTAATCCCAGCACTTTGGGAGGCTGAGGCGGGTGGATCACGAGGTCAAGAGATCGAGACCATCCTGGTCAACATGGTGAAACCCCGTCTCTACTAAAAATACAAAAAATTAGCTGGGCATGGTGGCACGTGCCTGTAATCCCAGCTACTCAGGAGGCTGAGGCAGGAGAATTGCCTGAACCCAGGAGGCGGAGGTTGCGGTGAGCCAAGATCGTGCCATTGCACTCCAGCCTGGGTAACAAGAGCGAAACTCTGTCTCAAAAAAAAAAGGAAAAAAAAATACCATTTGGTGGAATCTACCCTAAGGACTCACAAAAGTACACAAAAACCTTGCAACAACGCTATCCGTTACAACAACAGGAAATTCAAATGTTCATTTGAGTTATGTAAAATTTAAATTAAGATTTTTTTCTTTTTTAAGAGGCAGGGTCTTGCTTACATTTCCCAGGCCACAGTACAGTGGCTATTTATAGGCATGATCATAATTCACTCCCGAGCTCAAGCAAGCCTCCTGCCTCAGCCTCCCAAGTAGCTGGGACTACCAGCATGTGTCACTGCACCCAGCTAAATTATCGTATTTTTGTAAAAGAAGTACTAGTAAGTCATTTTAAAAGTTGGATAAATGAGTTGGGAGTAGTGGCTCATGCCTGTAATACCAGCACTTTGGGAGGCCGAGGCGGGTGGATCACCTAAGGTCAGGAGTTCAAGGCTTGTCTGGTTAACATGATGAAACCCCACTTCTACTAAAAATATAAAAATTAGGTGGGTGTGGTGGCAGGCATCTGTAATCCTAGCAACTCGGGAGGCTGAGGCAGCAGAATTGTGTGAACCCCAGGAGGCAGAGGTTGCAGTGAGCCTCAATCGTGCCACTGGACTCCAGCCTGGGTGACAGAGCAAAACTCTAAAACAAAGTTGGATAAATGTACTTATTGGCTATGTGCAGTGGCTCATGCCTGTAATCCCAGCACTTTAAGAGGCTGAGGCCGGTGGATCATGAGGTCAGGAGTTCAAGATTGGCCTGGCCAAGATAGTAAAACCCCGTCTCTACTAAAAAAATGCAAAAATTAGCCATGCATGGTGGTATGCGCCTGTAATCCCAGCAACTTGGGAGGCTGCAGCAGAGAATTGCTTGAACCTGGGAGGCAGAGGTTGTAATGAGCCACTATCATGCCACTGCACTCCAGCCTGGGTGACAGAGCGGGACTCCATCTTAAAAAAAAGAGTACTTACTGATAAGATTAATTGATATTCATATTATTGTCTAACAAAAACAAGTTACCAAGCCTATCAAAAAGTTTTGTCTGCATATGTATTTGGGCCTGGAAAGGTACACCACTAGATAACAATTGTCTTTAGGTACGAAGGTTTAGTGGCTATTTTTGTGTTCGTTTTGTGTTTCTGTATTTTCAGATTAACTTCTTTCTTTTTGAGATAGAGTCTCGCTCTGTCACCAGGCTGCAGTGTAGTTGCAAGATCTTGGCTCGCTGCAACCTCTGCCTCCTGGGTTTAAGCAATTCACCTGCCTCAGCCTCCCAAGTAGCTGGGATTACAGGTGCGCATCACCACGCCCAGCTAATTTTTGTATTGTTTAGTAGAGACAGGGTTTCACCGTGTTGGCCAGGATGGTCTCATCTCTTGTCCTTGTGACCTGCCCGCCATGGCCTCCTAAAGTGCTGCGATTACGGGCTTGGGTCACTGCACCTGGCTATTGACTTGGTTTTCTAATGAACATAGATTCTTTTGTAATAAGGAAAAATAGAGAAACTTCATATTTAACTGCTACAATAAACACAGTAGAAAGTGGAAGGTTAAGGTAGTTATTGAAAATTATAATTGTGCCAGGCGTGGTAGCTCACGCCTGTAATCCCAGCACTTTGGGAGGCTGAGGTGAGTGGATCATCTGAGGTCAGGAGTTCAAGACCAGCCTGACCAATATGGTGAAACCCCACCTTTAAAAAGAAAAAAAAAAAAATTAAAAAAAATAAATAAAATAAAAATTAAAAAGAAAATTATAATTGTGACAATTGTCAAGAAACTGAGCCAAATGTAGGAATAAACAAAATGTTTGCTTTAACTATTATGTAACATATACAATATATACTGAAAATACAGAAGGAGCCACCCACACCCAGCACTTTGGGAGGCTAAGGTGGGCAGATCACCTGAGGAAATCCTGTCTCTACTAAAAATACAAAATTAGGCGTGCTGGTGCATGCCTATAATCCCAGCTACTCAGGAGGCTGAGGCAGGAGAATCACTTGAACCTGGGAGGCAGAGGTTGTAGTGAGCCGAGATCTCGCCATTGGCACTCCAGCCTGAGCAACAAAAGCAAAAATCCATCTCAAAAAAAAAAAATGCAAAAGGAATATAGTTGTTTAAATGGAAAAGTCTAGCGAATTTTTTCTTTATCAAATAATTTGTTTTTATTAAAAATTAAATATTAAAATTTATAAATTAAAAATGTATATAAAAATGGAATCCAATTAATTCAAGTAGCTACAATTATTTAAAGCAAGGTGGAGACCAGATGGGTGGTATGGGTGGGGCATGGGCTTTAGCCTTCCATAATCACCATCAGTTGCTTCCCTCAAAGCTTCACCAGAAAAACTTCATTCAGCTTCAAGTCAAATCTCTTCTATAAAGAAATTCTGGCATTCCAGTAACGGAGAGTTTCCACTTAATACCACAGGCCCCAGGTCTATTCTGTGTTATGCATTTTCAAAATCTCTCCAATAAACATATTGTCTTAGACTTTGCTTTGACCGCTTTCTTATTTCTGGGTTTCAGAACCATGTGTGCTCAGTACTGCATCTCCTTTGCTGATGTTGAAAAGGCTCATATCAACATTCGAGATTCTATCCACCTCACACCAGTGCTAACGAGCTCCATTTTGAATCAAGTAACAGGGCGCAATCTTTTCTTCAAATGTGAACTCTTTCAGAAAACAGGATCTTTTAAGGTAACAATCCTTTTTCTCAGTGTATCATATATGTTTTCAAATCCCTTTACATATCAGTTTGATTCTGCTGACCACCTAGTGAGACAGGCAGAAGTAAATTAACGCCTTTATACAGTTCGAAAAAAGGTTACAGAAAGCTGGGCGTGGTGGCTCATACCTGTAATCCAAGTACATTGAAGGCCAAGGCAGGCAGATCACCTGAGGTCGGGAGTTCAAGACCAGCCTGACCAACGTGGTGAAACCCCATCTTAAAGTAATAATAAGAAGAAGAAAATAAAAAAGGTTACAGAAATTTTCCTTTCAAGTCCTTGTTTTACCTAGCATCATAATAGTGTTGATAGCCACTTTCACACAATCATAAAATCCTTGTAATTAGGTTCATATATATAACCTATTATCCAAGTAATCTTTATATGTAACATGTATATGTGTGTCTATATATAATATATACATAAAATATAGTCATGTGCCACGTAACAGTTCAGTCAATGACAGACCACCTATATGATGGTAGTCTCTGGTCCCATAAGGCCACAATACCACACTTGTACTGTATATTTCTGAGTTCAGATACACAAATACTTCTCATTTTGTTATAACTGCCTACAGTTATTTAGTACGGTACATGCTATACAGGGTTTGTAGCCTAGGAGCAATAGGCTGTAACAGCTGGCTTTGTATAAGTATACCCTATGATGCATGTACAATGATGAAATTGCCAAATCATGCATTTCTCAGAACATATCCCCATCCTTAAGCAAAGCATGACTGTATTATATATGCTATAACTTACTATCCAAACTTTTTATTATCCAAAATAGGACATGTTTGAGACTGAAAGAAGCAACTTGAAATGTCTAAACTGAGACAACTGAACTGTTATAGGCAAACTGGAAAATGTATATGATTCAAGTTTAAGCATTCACTGTATCAACTTGCTACAAACAGACACATTATGACTATAAAAGATCTAAGCCTGGCCAGGTGCAGTGGCTCATGCCTGTAATCCCAGCACTTTGGGGGGCCAAGGCAGGTGGATCACGAGGTCAGGAGGTCAAGACCAGCCTGGCTAACATAGTGAAACCCCATCTCTACTAAAAATACAAAAATTAGCCAGGTGTGGTGGTGGGCACCTATAGTCCCAACTACTTGGGAGCCTGAAGCCGGAGAATCGTATGAACCCCAGAGGCGGAGTTTGCAGTGAGCTGAGATCACTCTACTGCACTCCAGCCTGGGTGACACAGGGAGACTCTATCTCAAAAAAAAAAAAAAAAAAAAAAAAAAAAAAAAATCCAAGCCTGGGCAACATGACAAGACCCTCTCTACAAAAAGTACAAATATATATATAAATTAGCCTGGTGTGGTGGTATGCGCCTGTCGTCCCAGCTGCTCTGGAGGCTGAGGTGGGAAGACTGCACTGAGCCTGGGAGGTTGAGGCCACAGTGAGCTCACACCTCTGGCAGGGCAACAGCAAGACCTTGTCTCCAAAATAAAAAACAAAAAAAAAGGCCTGGCACAGTAGTTTATGCCTATAATCCCAGCACTTTGGGAGGCTGAGCTGTGCAGATTGTCTGAAGCTCAGGAGTTTGAGACTGGCCTGGACAACATAGTACAGCCTCATCTCTCCTAAAATATAAAAAAAATTAGCCCAGGGTGGTGGTGCACACCTGTAGTCCAAGCTATTTGGGAGGCAGAGGTTGCAGTGAGCTGAGATCAAGCCACTGCACTCCAGCCTGGGCAACAGAGCAAGACAAGACTGTCGCAAAAAAAAAAAAAAAAAGTTTTTACATAACCAAATCAGGGCACAGTGTCTCATGCCTATAATCCCAGCACTTTGCAAGGCCGAAGAGGAGGTTCACTTGAGTCCTAGAGTTCGTGACCAGCCTGGACAAAACCATGTCTCTACTAAAAATACAAAAATTAGCTGGGTGTGGTGGTGCATGTCTGTAATCCCAGCTACTCAAGAGGCTGAGGCAGGAGAATCGCTTAAACCCAGGAAGTGGAGGTTGCAGTGGGCCAAGATGGCTCCCCTGCACTCCAGCCTGAGTGACAGAGTGAAATCTGTCTCAAAAAAACAAAAAATAAAAGATCTAAAGGTAGCTAAATCCTCATATAAGATTTTTTTCTACAAAATATAGTGCATAAAGATAGACTTCTATGTGTTAACTTGTTATCAGAATTTTCTGACCATTAGTTTATAGCTTTAAGATCCTTTCAGGTAGGAGAACGATCCAAGATGGCCGATCGCTAACATCCCGGGATTGCAGCTCTCAGGGAAGGCGCGGAGAACTAGAGGACGCCACACTTTCAGACAAAGTCTGGTCGCTCACGGAGCAGAAGATCCCCCAGTGGTGGAAACACACGAGTCGCCAGCGCGACTCTCGTGGTCGTGGTCAGCGCAGCGGTTCCACCGGCACCTCGACGCGGCAGCGCTCGGCGCAGAGTAAACGGGACCGGTTCCCCTTCTGACCGAGGTTTGGAGCCCCGGGAAGGCAGAGTCGCCTACTACGGAAACAAGAAGGAAGCCCGACAGGAGAATCCTGGGCAGAAAAGCACCATCAGTTTTAACGCCGCTGCTCTGGCCCTGGGAACTAACAACCTGGACGTCCACTCAAGAGACCTAATCTGAAAGTTGGTAATTTCAAAGATGACAGGAGGATAAATTTACAATGACGGGAAGAAACCAGCGTAAAAAAGCTGAGAATACTCAAAGTCAGAACGCCTCCCCCTCTAAAGATGATCACAGTTCCACATCAACAATGGAACAAGGCTTGATGGAGAACGAGCGCCTCCTGATGACAGAATCACTCTTCAAGGAATGGATAATAACAAACTTCGGTGAGTTAAAAGAACATGTTGTAGCCCAACGTAAAGAAACTAGGAACTTTGAAAAAAGGTTTGATGAAATCCTATTGAGAATAGACAACTTAGAGAGGAGTATGAATGAATTAATGGAACTGAAGAATACAATACAGGAACTCCGAGAAGTATGCACAGGTTTAAACACTCGAATTGTTCAAGCAGAAGAAGGGATATCAGAGGTCAAAGTCCAACTTAATGAAATAAAACGTGAAGAAAAGATTAGAGAAAAAAGGATAAAAAGGAATGAGCAAAGTCTCCAAGAAATGTGGGACTATGTGAAAAGACCAAATTTACATTTGATAGGTGTACCTGAATGCGACGGAGAGAATGAATCCAAGCTGGAAAATACCCTTCAGGATATTATTCAGGAAAATTTTCCTAAACTAGCAAAGCAGGTCAACATTCAACCCCAGGTAATACAGAGAACAACACAAAGATATTCCTCAAGAAGAGCGACCCCAAGGCACATAATCGTTAGATTCACCAGGGTTGAAACGAAGGAGAGGATACTAAGGGCAGCCAGAGAGAAAGGTCAGATTACCCACAAAGGCAAGCCTATCAGACTTACAGCAGATCTCTCGGCAGAAACTCTACAGGCCAGAAGAGAGTAGGGGCCAATATTCAACATCCTCAAAGAACAGAACCTTCAGCCCAGAATTTCATATCCAGCCAAACTAAGCTTCACAACTGAAGGAAAAATAAAATCTTTTATGAACAAGCAAGAACTCAGAGATTTTATTACCACCAGGCCTGCTTTACAAGAGCTTCTGAAAGAAGCATTACACACAGAAAGAAACAACCAGTATTAGCCTTTCTAAAAATACACCAAAAAGTAAAGAGCACCAACATAAAGAAGAATTTACACCAACAAATGGATAAAACAGCCAGTCAACATCAAATGGCAGTAACCCTAAATTTAAATTGACTGAATTCCCAATCAAAAGACACAGCCAAAACCCAACGGCATGTTACATCCAGACCTGTTTCACATGCAACGATACACAAAGACTCAAAACAAAGGGATGGAGAAAGATTTACCAACCAAATGGAGAGCAAAAATAAATAATAAATAAATAAAAAGCAGGAGTTGCAATTCTTGTATCGGATAAAATAGATTTTAAAGCAACAAAGATATAGTGGTAAAAGGATCAATGCAACAACAAGAGCTAACGATCCTAACACCCAGATAGGAGACTTAGATTCAATGAGACAGAAAATTAATAAGGATATCAAGGACTCGAACTCAGATCCAGAACAAGTAAACTTAATAAATATTTATAGAGCTCTCCACTTCAAATACACAAAATATACATTCTTGTCAATACCACATCACACCTACCCATTAGTTTAAATGAAACATTGATTGGCCATTATTAATACCCAATTTTTTTCAAAATAAAGCAATAATTCCATTTACTCTCCCTCTTTCTCTTCCTCTTTCTTCCTCTCCTTTACTTATTTTTTTTTTCTTTCCTTCTCTCAAAAAAAAAAAAAAAAAAAGATCCTTTCAGGTAGAAGTCTGAAAAGTTGCATTTAGCACTGTGCCTTGCAGGTATTCTGGTAGCTTTAGGATTTCAAGAATCTACCTTTTACCCCACCCAGTAACTGAGAGCTTTTATTAGAGCTTTTATTTAAAAAAAAAAAAAAAAAAAAAAAAAAGCCCTGTAATCCCAGCACTTTGGGAGTCTGAGGCAGGTGGATGACCTGAGATCAGGAGTTCGAGACCAGCCTAGCCAGCATGGTGAAACCCCATCTCTACTAAAAATACAAAAATTATCACGCCTGTAGTCTGAGGCAGGTGGATCACCTGAGGTCAGGAATTCAAGACCAGACTGACCAACAAGATGAAACCATCTCTACTAAAAATATAAAATGAGCTGGGCGTGGTGGTGGGCACCTGTGATCCCAGCTACTTGGGAGACTGAGGCAGGAGAATTGCTTTAATCTGGAAGATGGAGGTTGCAGTGAGCCATGATTGCACCATTGTACTCCAGCGTGGGCAATACAGCAAGATACCATCTCAACAATAAATAAATAAATAAGCCAGGCATGGTTGCAGATGCTGATAATCTCAGCTGTCCACAGGCTGAGGCAGGAGAATCACTTGAACCCAGCCCGGGGTGGGGAGGCAAAGGTTGCAGTGAACAGAAATCACGCCACTGCACTCCAGCTTGGGTGACAGAGACTCCATCTCAATAAAAATAAAGGTGCACATGAGATATTTAGGAGGTAAGTCGATAAGATTTAGTGACAGATTGGATGTGCATATTAAAGACAGAAAATCTAGAAAAGCTCCTTGCTTTTCAAAGAAATGTTTTAATCAAACATGTGAATTCACCATCCCTCTTTTTCAGATTCGTGGTGCTCTTAATGCCATCAGAAGCTTGGTTCCTGATGCTTTAGAAGGGAAGCCCAAAGCAGTTGTTACTCACAGCAGTGGAAACCATGGCCAGGCTCTCACCTACGCTGCCAAATTGGAAGGTACTTGATCTCTTAAGGTACTGGGTAGATCATCAGAAAGTGGAAAAGTACCCTTAATTTCAGGGAGAGTGATGATAGCTGTAGGAATTAACTTTCCAAAGAAATCTCTATCTGACTGCAAGCTGTTATGAACATAAGTTTCTTTTTTTTTGAAGACAGTCTTGCTCTGTTGCCCAGGCTGGAGTGCGGTGGTGTGATTTCAGCTCACTGCAACCTCCCCCTTCCGGGTTCAAGCAATTCTCCTGCCTCAGCCTCCTGGGTAGCTGGGACTACAGGTGCGCACCACCACACCTGTCTAATTTTTCTATTTTACAAATACAAAATAATAAATACACCATGTTGCCCAGGCTGGTCTGGAACTCCTGGATTCAGGCAATCCACCTGCCTCGACCTCCCTAAGTGCCAGGATTATAAACATGAGCCACCACACCTGGCCAAACTGAAGTTTCTATTTGAAATTCTCCTGACTTGTAGTAACCAAACATGTTTTCCCCTCCCAGGGATTCCTGCTTATATTGTGGTGCCCCACACAGCTCCAGATTGTAAAAAGCTGGCAATCCAAGCCTATGGAGCGTCAATTGTATACTGTGAACCTAGTGATGAGGTAAGGAGAGCAGTGTTTGGTACCACCTCAATAGCTTTCATTTGACCAGCTGCTCTTTCTGCCTTACTGGCTGCTCCTTCTCAGTCTCCTGTGTTGTTTCCTCTTCACTTCTGTTAGCATGCTCAACCTTTTCTCCACCTACACTCAGATGATCTCATCAGTCTCACTGCTTAAGTGATTACCTATGGTCTATCAACTCCAACTCCAACGTCTCTCCCCTGAACACCAGACTTTTATATCCAACAGCTAACTAACTTTACCACTTGATGTTTTTTTTTTTTTTGAGATGGAGTCTTGCTGTCACCAGGCTGGAGTGCAGTGGCAGCCATCTCAGCTCACTGCAGCCTCCGCCTCCCAGGTTCAAGCGATTCTCCTGCCTCAGCCTCCTGAGTAGCTGGGACTACAGGTGTGCGCCACCATGCCCGGCTAATTTTTGTGTTTTTAGTAGAGACGGGGTTTCACCACGTTGGCCAGGATGGTCTCAATCTGTTGACCTCGTGATCCACCCGCCTCGGCCTCCCAAAGAGCTGGGATTACAGGCATGAGTGACTGTCCCTGACCCCACTTCATCTCAAATTACATCTAAAATCAAACTCCTGATCTTACTTCCCTATATTCCTTCTCTTCCAGTCTTCCTCATCTTAGTAAATGGCAACTTTTATTGTTTTTTTTTTTTTTTTTCTGAATTTTTTTTTTTTCTTTTTTTGTTAGAGATAAGGTCTTCCTATGTTGTGGGATCTTCCTGTCTCGGCCTTTTGAGTAGCTAGGACTATAGGTGCATGCCACCACACCTAACTAATTCCTTTATTTTTTGTAGATAGTGTCTCATTGTTGCCCAGGCTGGTCTCAAACTCCTGGGCTCAAGCGATCCTCCCACCTTGGCCTCTCAAAATGCTGAGATCACAGGCATGACCCACTGCACACAGCCAGGAGTCATCTTTGATAACCCTCTCACACCCCACATTCAAATCTCAATCCTGCTTTCAACATATTTCCATAACCCAACTACTTCTGTGTCTACCATTGCCACCCTGATTCAAACCAGCATTAATTCTCATCTAGATTTGGTAGCCTAACTGGTCTCTCTGCATCCACCCTTGCCCTACTACAGGCTTTTCTGAGCAACCAGAGCTCTCCATTAAATAAAGTCAGAACTTGTCTCTTTTCAATTCAAAATTCTGTAATGGTTTCCCATCTCATACCCAGTGGAAAACCAGAGTTCTTGCAATCATCTAAGCCCTGGATGAACTCAAACATTCCTAACTTTTTGACCTCATCTTTTATTTATTTGAGACAGGGTCTTGCTCTGTCCGGCCCAGGCTGGAGTACAGTAGTTGGATCTCAGTTCACTGCAGCCTCCATCTCTTGGATTCAGGAGATTCTCATGCCTCAGCCACTGATGTAGCTGGGATTACAGGCACATGCCACCATGCCCAGCTAATTTATGTTTAGTAGAGACTGGGTTTCACTGTGTTGGCCAGGCAGGTCTTGAACTGACCCAAAGTGAGCCACCCACCTTGGCCTCCCAGAGTGCTGGGATTATAGGCATGAGCCACCATGCCCAGCCTTGACCTCATCTATTATTTCTCTTGTCCACTCTCTGCCAGCCATACTAGCCTTTTAGCTTTTCCTCAGAAAGGCCTAGTACTCCTATTTTGTAATCTTTGCACTGTTACCTCCTCCCTGAAATATTCTAGATCTCCACAGCACTTGTCCAGATCTTTTAAAATGTCGCTTTACTAGAGGCTCTTCCTGCCTACCCTATATGAAATAAATTCCTTCATTTTATTCCATAGCACTTAGACATAGCATATATTTACTTCACCCATCTCCACCATATAAGAATACAACCCTCTTGAGGGCAGGAATATTTTAACATATCTCTAGTGCCTGAACAAAATCTGAAAAAAGTAGGATGATCAATAAAATTTTGAATGACCAAATGGAACTTGTTGGGGAATCTATTAAATGCAAATCAAGTAAGCTAAATTAATGTACTTTCAGTCCAGAGAAAATGTTGCACAAAGAGTTACAGAGCAAACAGAAGGCATCATGGTACATCCAAACCAGGAGCCTGCAGTGATAGCTGGACAAGGGACAATTGCCCTAGAAGTGCTGAACCAGGTAAAATAGAGTTCTTCCTGCTTAGCTACTGGTAAAGCTATTGGGCTATATTCATTTATTTTATGTATACACATTAAATATAAAACTGTTTCCTAATAGGCCTATTGACAGTTTATATTCTTTTCACTAAAGGTTCCTTTGGTGGATGCACTGGTGGTACCTGTAGGTGGAGGAGGAATGGTTGCTGGAATAGCAATTACAATTAAGGTGAGCAGCTTCTGGATTTATTTTACATCATAAATGTTTTATATACATATGCTCAACATTCTGCACATTACCATTCCTTCGCCTTATTCCTTTAGCACTTAAGATGAAGGCCCTTCTCTGCCTCCCTACTCTATTATTTTTAATATTTTTATTTTTTAAGAGATGGAGTGTTGCTATATTGGCAAAGTTGGTCTTCAACTCCTGGGCTCAAGTAATTCTCCCAAAGTGCTAGGATTATAGGTATGAGCCACCGCACCCAGCCCCTATTTTCTTTTAGACGTGCAGGCAATGTTGTGGTTTGTTCTAAGATGTCTTAATATTCTTATTCCCAGGCTCTGAAACCTAGTGTGAAGGTTTATGCTGCTGAACCCTTGAATGCAGATGACTGCTACCAGTCCAAACTGAAAGGGGAACTGATGCCCAATCTTTATCCTCCAGAAACCATAGCAGATGGTGTCAAATCCAGCATTGGCTGGAACACCTGGCCTATTATTAGGGACCTTGTGGATGATGTCTTCACTGTCACAGAGGACGAAATTAAGGTAAGGCTCCAACAGGAAAAGAAATAACAAAGCATGGTGTAACTTCTTAGGCAGAGCCACCTTTTGTTATGAGTAGCAGCTGACCCATGGCAACTTGACTAGGTAACTTCGTGACAGGGGAAAGGACCCTAGATGTATGAATGACAACCCTCTTGACAGAGGCAGAGTTAGAATGAAAGCAAAGTCTTGGCAAGCATGTATATATAGTGATAAAAAAATTCAAACTGGATATATATATATATATATATATATATATATATATATATTCTCATCTGACTTTTTTAAGTAAACCAACTGGATTCCCTTTTGACTAATTCCTACCCCCTTCCATATCAACAGCACGCAACTCAGCTGGTGTGGGAGAGAATGAAACTACTCATTGAACCTACAGCTGGTGTTGGAGTGGCTGCTGTGCTGTCTCAACATTTTCAAACTGTTTCCCCAGAAGTAAAGAACATTTGTATTGTGCTCAGTGGTGGAAATGTAGACTTAACCTCTGTAACTTGGGTGAAGCAGGCTGAAAGGTCAGCTTCTTATCAATCTGTTTCTGTTTAATTTACAAAAAAGGAAATGGTGGGAATCAGTGTCTTTAGAAACTGAGGACATTTTGTTCCCTAGTCACTGTCAACTTTTCATCTTACCCTCTTAGTTATCAGATTCTTAATGGAGAATGGGTATTTCAGTAAGATTTAATATAGTTTTTTGGACTAAGTAGTAGAAAAACTTCCATATTTAACCGAGACATTTTGTCAAGGCCAAAAAAAGTCTTGCAAAATGGGGTAGTGGACTGACAGGCTGATGTAGAAAATAAACTTTACCCCATCACTATGCCTCCCATCCCTGGAGTGCTGATGGGCACCAGTAAGACAAAATCTCTTTGAATCCGTTACTCCATTCCTCCTTGAGGCACTGCTGAAGAAATACCACTTTTCACCCAGGGTACTGGTTCTGGTACATATGGATCATAAGTCCATTTGGGGAATACTCGTTTATAGAGGTTCATCAGTACTGTGTCTTGAGATTTTAGCTTCCCATCAAAGCTGCATTTCATGTGGCCATGGGTACCTAGAAAGAAAACAGAACACGTTGGTCAAATTAAAAGTAGAAAATTTTAAAGCAATGACTTCCAACCCAATAGTCAATTAGTAACACTGTAGAAATCTAGACATGGTCCCGAATCCCATGTTTCCTTACCTAAAGGCTCCTTGATATGTCCTCTACGGCCCCACTTTGTTCTCAGTTCCACGGGTTTAAACCACAGCACATCCTCTTAGAATCAAACACACAAAAGACCAAGATGAAACAGTGACGCACAAAATGTAAACCCAACCTTTATACCACAAAGGCAATCAGATCCCATCCTCCTCCTTCAGTCTTACCTCTATTGAAGAACATGTAACGTACTACTGCCATCTTAGTAAAAATTTTGAAAGGATGACCACTCAGAACAACTCTCTTGATGACTATTCTGTCTGGATCCACTGACATAAGATGGCCCGTAGCAATGAGGCTGTGCATTCCTAAGGGACAAAAGCAAAGAAGCTAGTTAGGAAATTACAGGCCAAAGTCTTCATCTATTGTCCCAATCCATTTAAAGACCCATGTGGTATTTTCTTGGGAGAAACTGTAAAGTAGTGTTGATGAGGCTGCCCTTTGTGGGATCACACCAAAAACCACTCCATTTCATTCCTGCTAAGCCTGTCCCTGGAACCTATCCTAAATACATTCTGAGCAGCCTCTACCAATCAGCTAAGGCTTGTAAGCAAGATAAAACCTGGTTTGTCATCCCTGCCCTAGCCCACTGTGACACTAAGATTGGTAAACTATAAGTCCGCACTTAATCTTGTCAATAGGTTCTTGAAAACTTGCATGTTAAGAGAATGATGTGTAACAAAACCATTTTTTTCTCATCAATTGTTACAACGAAAAGATGTTGACCAAAATGCAGTTATTTGAGGACTGGCTATACATTGTTTCACTTAAAAGTCGCAGTTTTGGTCTGGCTGCAGTGGCACACACCTGTAATGCCAGCACTTTGGGAGGCAGAGGCAGGTGGATCACCTGAGGTCAGGAGTTGAAGACCAGCCTGGCCAACATGGTGAAACCCCCACCTCTATTAAAAATATTAAAAATTAGCCACAGGTGTGGTGGCATGTGCCTGTAATCCCAGCTACTCAGGAGGCTGAAGCAGAAGAATCCATTGAACCCAGGAGGTAAAGGATGCAGTGAGTAGAGATCGTGCCATTGCACTCCAGCCTGAGCAACAAGAGTGAAACTCCATCCCCAAAAAAAGTTGCCGTTTTCATTGTTCTATTAACAGTGTTAAGTGAAGACTTACTGTATTTTGAAAACCATCATTACCTTCTCCATACCATTTGGTTCCCAAATCTCAATAGAGAAGAGAAAAGAGTATTAATCCTATTAAGGACCTGCAGGTCTGTTCACCTTGTGGCTCAACTTACCATTGCTTTTCTGCTTGAAAAGCAGCACAGATGCAGGAGGAAAAGTGATTGGTGCATATACTGTCACCACCAGGGCCATGTCAGCAGTCAGGAATCTCTGAAATTTATGTTTGTCCGCTGCCATAAGGTTTAAAAAACAAAAACCAAAACCATTTTGAGAAACCAGTGGTAATATACAGGCCTGTGAAAAGCTGTGTTTGTGCAACTCTTAAACCTATGGCAGCTTCTACTTCTCTAATCTACCAGTTCTCAAACACTTTCCCTGCCTCAGTACACCGAAAAGACAAAAATCTAGTCCTATCAGATCACTTTTTTTTTTTTTTTGAGTTGGAGTCTTGCTCTGTCACCCAGGCTGGAGTGCAATGGCTTGATCTCAGCTCACTGTAACTTCCACCTTCTGGATTAAGCAATTATCCTTCCTCAGTCTCCCAAGTAGCTAGGATTACAGGCGCCCACCACCACACCCCACCCGGCTAATTTTTGTATTTGTAGTGGAGATGGGGTTTCACCATATTGGCCAGGCTGGTCTCAAACTCCTGACCTCGTGATCTGCCTGCCTCGGCCTCCCAAAGTGCTGAGATTGCAGGCGTGAGCCACAGTGACCAGCTGAAATCAATAACTTTTTTTTGTTTTGAGACAGTGTCTCTCTCTTGTTGCCCAGGCTGGAGTGCCTCCTGGGTTCAAGCAGTTCTCCTGCCTCAGCCTTCCGAGTAGCTAGAATTACGGGTGCCCGATCAGTAACTTTTTTATCTGAAGGCAGAATCTTGGAACTTAGACTGTATTTGGTGTTCCACCTTCAACATAACCCTCACCCCCTTTTCAAAATACTAAAGTTAGAGGAAAATACAATATTTGAAGGGAAAGAAAAATTAATCTCATTTAGACTGCATAATTGGTGAGAATAAAAATTATCCAAAACAACATTAATACTGCCTTCATATTCCTCCTGCAACGGCTGAGAGTAAGTGAACCAGGATAATGTTCAGAAGCCCCCAAGTTAGTGGGCAACACATCTTGCTGCTCCTAACATGTAGGAGTACAATCAATTTTGCCACAACACTTGTCCGGTAGTCTTTTCAATTTCTCAGAAACCCTACCTCTGCTTTGCCCAACTATGAGCCACACCCAGCTACATCCCTTCACCCACACTGCCCTTGGCACACTAGATACCAAAGTTTCCACACTTTATCACACCCTTTTAAATTTTTTCAAGAGACAGTCTCACTCTGTTATCTAGGTTGTTGTGCAGTGATGTGAACATAGCTCACTGCAGCCTCAAACTCCTGGGCTCATTGGCTCAGGCAATCCTCTTGCCTCAGCCTCCCAAGTAGCTGGGACTACAGAGCATATGCCACCACACCTGGCTAATTTTTTAAAATAAATTTTGGTTGGCCATGGTGGCTTACACCTGGGAGGCCGAGGTGGGTGGATTACCTGAGGTAAGGAGTTCAAGAACAGCCTGGCCAACATGGTGAAATCCCATCTCTACTAATAATACAAAATTAGCTGGGCGTGGTGGCACATGCCTATAATCCCAGCTCCCCAGCTACCTGGGAGGCTGAGGCAGGAGAATTGCTTGAACCCGGGAGGTGGAGGTTGCAGTGAGTCGAGATTGCACCACTGCACTTAGCCTGGGTGATGAGCAAAACTCTGTATCAAAAAAAAAATTTTTTTTTTTTTTTTGTAGAGGCCAGACATGGTGGCTCATGCCTGTAAATCACAACACTTTAGAAGGCCAAGGCATGTGGATCACCTGAGGTCAAGAGTTTGAGACCAGCCTGGCCAACATGGAGAAACCCCATCTCTACTAAAAATACAAAAATTAGTTGGGCGTGGTGGCGCATGCTGGTGGTCCAAGCTACTCCGGAGGCTGAAGCACCAAAATCACTTGAACCCGAGAGGTGGAGGCTGCAGTGAGCTGCAGAGGTGGAGCCTCATGCTACTGCACTCCAGCCAGGGTGACAGAGCAGGACTCTGTCTCAAAAAAAAAAAAAAAAATTGTAGAGACAAGAGTCTCGCACCTGACATCAAGCGATCCTCCTGCCTCAGTCTCTGGAACTTTGATTTAGTTCCAGTTCTAAGGATCTGCCTTTACAAAATAAGCAAAGAAGTAAACAACGTTTTATGCATACAGATATAATTCAGGGCAAAATATTAGAAATAGCCTAAGTGAGGTCGGGCGCAGTGGCTCACTCCTGTAATCCCAGTGATTCAGTAGGCCAATGCAGGCAGATCAGCGAGGTCAGGAGTTCGAGACCAGTCTGGCCAATATGGGGAAACCCCATCTCTACTAAAAACACAAAAATTAGCCAGGCGCAGAGTGGCTTGCACCTATAGTCCTAGCTATTCAGGAGGCTGAGGCAGAAGAATCACTTTAACCTGGGAGGTGGAGGTTGCAGTGAGCTGAGATCATGCCATTGCACTCCAGATTGGTGCAACAGACTGGGGGAAAGACTCAGTCTCGGGGAAAAAAAAAAATAGCCTAAGTGCTCAAACATAGACAGTCAAATATCAGTACATCACATACACCAGAATATATCCAAATGAAAATAAAGCATTATAAGTCTCATTTAGGCCAGGCACGGTGGCTCATGCCTTTAATCCCAGAACTTTGGGAGGCCAAGGCAGGTGGATCACGAGGTCAAGAGATAGAGACCATCCTGGTCAACAAGGTGAAACCCCATCTCTATTAAAAATACAAAAATTAGCTGGGCATGGTGGCGTCCGCCTGTAGTCCCAGCTGCTCGGGAGGCTGAGGCAGGAGAATTGCTTGAACCCAGAAGGCGGAGGTTGCGGTGAGCTGAGATCGTGCCATTGCACTCCAGTCTGGGTAACAACAGTGAAACTCCGCCTCCAAAAAAAATAAATAAATAAAAGTCTCATTTAGCCAGGTGTTGCGTGCACCTATAATCCCAGCTACTTGGGAGGCTGAGGCAGGAGAATCACTTGAACCCAGGAGGCAGAGGTTAAAGTGAGCTGAGATCGCACCAGTGCACTCCAGACTGGGTGACAGGGCATCTCAAAAAAAAAAAGTCTCATTAATTAATCTTATGGAAAATTGATCAAAGTCAATTAAGTGATAAATGCAATGTTTAACACCATATTTACATTTACAATCCCAATTGTGTTAAAAAAAAATAGAGATCTAGATGGAAATGTATAAAGTAATAATGAATTTTCTGATATAAGGTAATTTTATTTTTACATTATTATTTTCCCAGTTGTCTAAAATATGAAAATAGTTATTTCATCCTTTAAAAAAAATCAGAACTATTTTGAAACAATAAGAGGATGATTAAATCTTGGCTTTTGTTTCCGTCTTTTTTTTTTTTTTTTTGAGACGGAGTTTCGCTCTTGTTACCCAGGCTGGAGTGCAATGGCGCAATAATCTCGGCTCACCGCAATCTCCGCCTCTGGGCTCAGGCAATTCTCCTGCCTCAGCCTCCTGAGTAGCTGGGATTACAGGCACGCGCCACCATGCCCAGCTAATTTTTTGTATTTTTAGTAGAAACGGGGTTTCACCATGTTGACCAGGATGGTCTCGATCTCTTGACCTCGTGATCCACCCACCTCGGCCTCCCAAAGTGCTGGGATTACAAGCATGAGCCACCGCGCCCGGCCTTGTTTCCATCTTTAATTCACCCATTCTAATGCCAGTTTTGGCCTTATAGGTGTGAGTCACTGCACCTAGCCTAATGCCCTTTTTATAAAGCTGCCAACTTCTACTCAAAACCTACTCTGGAACAAATATTCATGGCAAAAAAAGCCTCAGTATGACACAGGTTGCATCACTAGGATGCTTCAGACAGGTTCAGACATTTTGAGTAAAAACATCATTGGCTCTTAAGCCAGAGTATTGAGAATACCGCTAACCCAGAGATACAAGATTTCGAAACTGACTCTTTTGCACCCCTCCACCACAAGTCAGTTTTGCAAAAGACAAGATGGACAAGAACCCAGGTTCCCCACCGCTAACCTGCAGTGTGCTGAGAAAATAAAGGTGAGGCTCGGAAGCGCCTGAATCCACAATGGAATATGAGTTCTTCCTTGGCTTTCACAGGTTCAGTGTTGCCAGGGTCACGCCTCACCACCATATTCAATACTGACATCTGAGAACCAAGTAAGGAAAACAAAAATCTTCATAGTATAAGAATACAATTGCCTAACTTGAAAGAAGGCAAACCAAACTAGCAGATTCAGATTCATTCTAAGAACGGACAATGCTAATTAATGGGGGGAGTATAGATGCTGGAACATAGATTCATTCTTTACCTCCACCAATGACTGGCGTTTAAGCCAAACACAGGCTCATCAGAGCTTTCATGCACCCTTCAATGCTAACTTACCTTTCTGCATCTAGCAGAAAAAGAGCTCAACATCTGCCACAAAAATCAGTGGCCTTGAAGACACTTACCACAATCTCAAAACCACACTCACTCAAGCCCCTTCTTCCTGAACCCTTACCAAGAGCAATAAAAGAACTATAATATATACAACTGTTGGCCACCAAGAGAAGAGAGATCTGCACCTTGGCATAAACCTTTATGTTTAAGGCTGCCACCCTTGTTCTAAATCTGGTCTGAAAAACATATTTGGAGAAGTCTCAGAACCACACAGAGAATGCATCACTGAGATGCTTCAGACAGGTTCAGACAGTATTGAATAAAACCATCACTGACTTCTCTATTATTCTCCAATTCCTAATCAGAAAGGCAGACTTTTTGTATCTCTATGAGCAGAATGTTAGTCACAAAAACAGAATTTTAGACTATCAGAAGTGGCTGGAAAGTTTAATAATTCCCCATTTTCCCACAAGACACTCATTTACCTTCTGTTCATGAGGTAGTAAAGAAAATACAATCAAGGGTGCTCCTTGCCTGAAATGCTCGACCACTGAGACAGGAACTTCAGAGACATGAATTGTGACATACCAGCCAACCTGCCATAAGAAAGCAGAAAGCAGTCATGGAGTTACCCCTCAAAATCCTAATAACGGAGAAGCTTTCTCCAAATATGGTGAGTCTTTCCGATGACCTTTTAAAAGCTAACCCCACCCTTAAAGATGGCTTCACTACCCAGATTACACTTCTTCATTTAATGTGACAGAGACCTCTTTGTTCCCAGTTTTGTTTTGTTTTGTTTTTTGAGACAGAGTTTCGCTCTTGTTACCCAGGCTGGAGTGCAATGGCATGATCTCGGCTCACCGCAACCTCCGCCTCCTGGGTTCAGGCAATTCTCCTGCCTCAGCCTCCCGAGTAGCTGGGATTACAGGCACGCGCCACCATGCCCAACTAATTTTTTTGTGTTTTTAGTAGAGACGGGGTTTCACCATGTTGACCAGGATGGTCTTGATCTCTTGACCTCATGATCCATGGGCCTCAGCCTCCCAAAGTGCTGGGATTACAGGCGTGAGCCACCGCGCCCGGCCTGTTTTGTTTTGTTTTTTTTTTTGTTTTGTTTTGTTTTTTTTGAGATGGAGTCTCACTGTCGCCCAGGCAGGAGTGCAATGGCATGATCTCTGTTCACTGCAAACTCCCCGTCCTGGGTTCAAGCAATTCTCCTGCCTCGGCCTCCCAAGTGGCTGGGATTACAGTCATGCACCACCACACCCAGCTAATTTTGTATTTTCAGCAGAGATGGGGTTTCTCCATGTTGGCCAGGCTGCTCTCGAACTCCTGACCTCAGGTGGCCTGCCCACCCCGGCCTCCCAAAGTGTTGGGATTACAGGTGAGCCACTACACCTGGGCTGTTTCCAGTATCATTCTTGTCGATGACTCAGGGGCTCCCCTAATTTCCCAACGCAGCATATTTCCATGCCAAGAGAAGGAGTAAAGTGGGAGCATGTTGACAAATGAAAGCAACATACAAGATGGACAAGGGCAGATACCTCAGCTCCTTCAACCTCTTTTTCTTCAATCTCCTTAAAGATGCTTTTCCTGCTATTAGTAAAGTTCTGAAACTGAAATATCCGAGCATACTCTTGAGGAAGGTTTTCCTTAGGATCCCATGGAGATGTCCGGAAGCTCTTGAGGCCTCTGTATTTCTGAAATCTAGAATATTGAAGATTTTATAAAAATTAAGTCAGATTTACATGGTGCTATATAGACTCAAGTCACTGCTAAAATGGCTAAGGATCTAGCTCAAAAGAACTCCAATCACTATCTCTCAAAATAAACTATCAGCTTAAACCAAGACCACACTGCAAAACAACTTGTAACAAGTTGTATCAGAACCAAACCCAAGCTTCCCACTGACAAAAGACAAAGGATTTATAGTGGCTCCCTGACAAAAAAGATGTTTGGTAATGACCTGGTATAGTTCAGATGTGTGTCCGTGCCCAAATCTCATATTGAAATACAATCTCCAATGTTGGAGGTGGAGCCTGGTGGGAGGTGACTGGATTATGAGAGAGGTTTTCTCATGAATGGCTTAGCACCATCCCCGTTGGTGAGTGCGTTCTCATGAGATCTGGTTGTTTAGAAGTGTTAGCACATCCTGCCTCAGTCTCTTGTTCCTACTCTGGCCATGTGACATAACTTGCTCCCCTTCTGCCTTCTGCCATGATTGTAAGTTTTTTTCAGGCTGCCCCAAAAGCTGAACAGATGCCAGCACTATGCTTCCTGTACAGCCTGCAAAACCATGAGCCAATTAAATCTCTTTTCTTTATAAATTACGCAGTCTCTGGTACTTCTTCATAGCAGTGCGAGAATGGCTTAATACACAGCCTTATCTCCTTAATATCCAAGATTAATTCACTGGCTTTAGTCACTCACCTCCAGAATAGATATAATCATCTACATCTTCACTCTTCTACTTCTGCTATTCTACCCAAACCCCCTAAAATCTCCAAACATTATATACTTCAATTGAGTATTGGCTCCTTTGGGAAGAAGTATTTGCTAATTAACCTTAGTATTTCTCCTTCATTAAAGTCCTGTAATAGTAGTCTGTACCACAGTCTAGAACTTGATTATATATTACCATTTCCTGTATGTATGTATGTATGTATGTCTTGCCTTCCCATATTAAATGTTAGCTCTTCAGGAGCAGGAAAAATGTGTTTTTCTTCTTTTGTATCACAGTGACATAGCTCTGAGCCAAGTTTTTAAAACCTATTGACTTAATTTAGATTTACTGACTAACCGAATTCTAGCAGCCACATCACGGGGGGTGTCCACCTCATCCGGAAACATCTCTTCCAGTCTTTCTTGTTTATATTTCTCCAACTTTTTTGCCTCAGCTTCTTCATCTACTTTCTTATCATACAGATCATCATGCACAGACTCCCCTATAGTCATAGTTTCATATTCTTCCTCTTCTTCTTCACTACTCTCATCCTGTAGAATAAAGGATTATTTATTTCAGAAGAAATCCACACCCTAAAGGCCAATAAGCTAAGAGTAAAATAATTGTATTGGATACCTATTCCCAACTAACATAGATTCTAATACGGCCTAAAGCAGAAAACAAAAGCCTCATTCCTGGCAACTAGAGTCATTCCTAAGAAACTAAACATACACACCCCTCAAGATTACAATTGCACTTTGCTTTATGTTTGAAGCTAGACACAGAAATGGCCTAAGGCCTCATTTCCTTACCTGAGATTCTTCTTCCATAAAATCCTCATGTTCCATATCATCATATTCATCTCCTTCCCCATCACTTTGGCTGCCACTATCCAAAATCCATTCAGCTTGGTAACTGGATGTTCCTTTGGGGACCTTCTTTACCACCTTAGAACTTTCCTTCAAGAAATCTGTAAAAGCCCAAACAAATTAAGTAAATTATAGCTATCCTTTCCCTATCCCTCTGGTTATTCTCACCCAGGCAAGGCACTAGACGCTGCTGCCAACATGGGAAATTCCAGCAGACACCATAAGCAGAACTAACTACTTCTAAATTTAATTCCGTTGCCTCACAACTAGCAATACTTACACAGCTAAATAAGCCCTGCAATGAATCCAAAGTTGTTTATCTGTTCATGATAAAACATTAACACAAGTTATTTTGAGAAATGGAACAAAGCTGTGTCTAATGTTTGTTTAGTGAAAACATATAACATTTGAGGATGAGGAGAGACTTTCAAATATATCCCTATCCCACTCTATCCCATATGGTTCTCACTCTGAAGAGCTAGAGGAAATCCACAATTCCAGGTCAGATGAATTACAAACAAGTTTACCAATACCAACCCTTTGCCTCACTCATCTCCTCCTCAGTGGGCCAGGTTTGCTCCCCCTCCATTGGATCTGGGATAACCTCTGTTTGCAAGGATTCCTGTCTATCAGGGTCTGCCTTCATTAGGACCTTAAGGTCTTCTTCCATATCATCTACAGTATCCGTAGCACAAATCTGAAAACCAAAAAAGCAGGTGATAGTCAACCATTAACCAAAAATCTCCCAAATCAAACAGAATAACCAGAAAGACCCAGAAATACCGGTCCTCATGTAGAAGATGAATGCAACAGAATGCCAAAACTTGTCAAAATTTTTCAAATGACCATTTTCTAATTTCCAGGGTTTTTTTTTTTTTTTTTTTTCCGGAGACAGTGTTTTTCTCTTGTTCAAGCTGGAGTGCGATGGGTCACTGCAACCTCCGCCTTCCGGGTTCAAGCGATTCTCCTGCCTCAGCCGGATTACAGGCATGCGCTACCACACCCAGCTAATTTTGTATTTTTAGTAGAGACAGTGCTTCTCCATGTTGACCAGGCTGGTCTCAAACTCCTGACCTCAGGTGATCCACCTGGCTCAGCTTCCCAAAGTGTTGAGATTACAGATGTGAGTCAAACATCCGGCCATTTCCAGGGTATTTTAACTCTGCTTGGCTCTTGAGGTCTTTCTTATTCTGTCCCTACTCCTACCCGTTTATTACATACCTCACTCCCATCAAGCTGATTTCTTCAAAATTCAAATAAACCCTTTGATCTACCACTGTGCCTAGGTTCATATTGTTTTTATCTTCTAGGATATTCTTTTATCCCTCTTCAACTCATAAATCACATTCATCCTTCTCAACACCTAGCTCAAGTCTGATCTCTCCTGTAAAGCTTGCTAGTCTACTTTCTAAACTTCCATAGTAGATCCGTACCTCAACCACATGCTATCTCTATCTTTATTTTACAGATGCCGTTTTGTTCCAGCCCAATTAAGCCCCTTAAGGAAAGCAACCGCGTCTTGAGTGTCTTCTATAAACTCAGAGCCAACTGCAGTGCAGAGTATATAAAGTGCTAGATAAATATGTAATTTATCAACATATTTATAACTATTGCCTTACTTCAGACTGGCAGTCTCCTCAATCACCTAAATGTACAGACTGTCTTCTCTGAATTTAAGTTTCCTTCCTGTGCCAACTTTCTTTTTTTTTTCTTTTTAACTCTGGACGTGACATTTTTCAGTACACTGTGCCAACTTTCATATGATTATGAATTAAGAATATGTCTTTCCCCTCACAAAACAGAAACAAAAAAAAGTCAGTCTTACCTCCATTGCCATGTCTGGGTCCTTCTGGGATTTAATTACTCTAGGATTTAAAGGGAAAGGGTCCACAGGGGCATCTATCTGTTTCATCTGGAAATCGCCATGTCCAACGATATGTAGCAAACTGTTTACATTCAGAGTCTGCCCTCGAACATAGCCTGAAATTTTCAAGTTGCCCACCAAGTTATTCTCTTCACTAGGAACAAAATCAACAGCATGGGCAAACAGGTAGGCTCGCCGGTCCCGAAAAGCAAGATGCTGTTGCTTCTGGTTAGCCAACTGCCTAAGCAGCATCCCTGCCTCCTGCTGAGTGTCTAACAAGAGGAGTTTGTTATCTGGAAAGCGCTTCTCCACTGCTTTACTTAGCTTCTTCCTGGCATCTATTTGGTTCTTCAGTGGGAGGCCAGAAATCCCCTGGACAGCTAGCGCTGTAAGCAAAAGAGAAAATGCTTTGTGACCTATTGCTTCATTACATAAAAATCTCCCTGAAGGTCAGGCACCGTGGTTCACACCTGTAATCCCAGCACTTTGGGAGACTGAGGCGGATGGATCACCTGAGGTCAGGAGTTCGAGACCAGCGTGACCAACATGGAGAAACTCTGTCTCTACTCAAAATATAAAATTAGCCGGGCACAGTGGCACATGCTTGTAACCCAGCTTCTCGGGAGGCTGAGGCAGAATTGCTTGAACCCAGGAGGCGGAGACTGTGGTGACCCAACACCACTGCATTCCAGCCTGGGCAACAAGAGCAAAACGCTGTCTCAGGAAAAAAAAAAAAACAAAAAACACCCCAAACCCTGCAGTTCACAACCTAACAGCTCAGTTGCAAGCCCAGAGATCACTGGGAAACCCAACACTTAAGTACCCTAAAGGAATTTCACAGTGAAATCACACTTCATATGCTTCTTTCTCTAGGCAAAGGACAGCCAAAAACAAAAAGGCACCCTGAGTGAGAATCTGTAAATAATGGACCAACTTTAATCCATATGTGTAACCCCCACCACCAGCTGAATATGACCCATCAGTTGTATTCCTGTATCAAACACAAGTGCACAATAAATGCTAACTCACTTACTATAGGTGGGAAGCCCCTGGGCAAAGAGGCAGGAAAGACAGTAATCGCCGGTGCTGTCCCAGCCTTCAAGTGGATCAAGTAAGAACAGGACGGTATCAGCTACTTTAGCCATGTCTAACACAGTGTGTAGATCTCCTGGAGACAGAAGTTAAGAAGAGGAGGTTGGCACCAGCACATTATGCTAAAAAAATATTACCACTATTCAAACATAATAGAAAACATTGTTTGTATACTCTAACCTGGCCTTGCTGATGTGAAAAACCACCGATGTTTCAGGTGGGGGCATAGCAGCATAAAGCTGTGGGTGTTTCCCAATTCATTCAAGTGTACTCTTCCAGTGTCCATATCCTGAAGCAGCTGAATGGCCTCTGGCAGGGAAATTCTGTTGTGCAGGGGCACCACCAGTACCTGATGAGGAGGGCCATTCTTGCTACCCAACTGTCTCTTCTCTGCCAGAACCTGAAAACAGATATCCAAGAACATCTCAATGTCTCAGTACTTCACTCCAGCATTGCATTTCCCACCCACCCACAACCGGCGTCTCTCTGGTAAAAGGCCCCCTGTATGCCGGCAGGGTGGCAGGAATTCTGACCAAAGAAAGGAATGCCAGAACTGTACGCTCGACATGTGCTCTAGGGCTATTCTCTGTCCCTGGACCCTCCACCCGGTCTCATTTTCCAGTTCGAGGCATTAGCCACTTAGAAAAGCAGAGGAGCCACAGTCTCCCAAACCCCGCTCCTCTCACCGCCTCCTTCTTCTGCTTTCGGAGCTGGCTGGCGCGATGCCTCTGGTCGACTCTGCTGAGTTCTTTTCTCACTTTCTTGCTTAGGGTTTTCAGTGCTAGACGGCCTGGAGGGCAGATTAGAAGGGTCTGGTGTGATCGGTCCCACAATAACGTCAGGAAAAGGGACCCCTCTCCGCCCACCTTACAAAGGGCCTTTCGCGTGGGGCCCAGACGAGGGGAGACAGCAGCTCAGTCTGGGCATGGGGAAAAAGACTTAATAACAGCCAAGTAGCCCTTCTTCCTTCTACGCTACCTTCTTACCCTTGCCGTCCCGCTGTGCAGATCCCCGACCCCGATGCCGCCCGCCTTTGTGAGCCTTATTCTGCTGCTTGAGCGGGCCGGGCCGGTGGGCAGCCATACCGCAGCGCGCGCGTTCGGAGTCTACACCGCTTCCGGGCCAGGCCGAGCGCTTCCGGTCCCGTCCACCGGGGCGGGCCCTCCGGGGAGCGGGGCTCCCTGCGCCCCGTGCGCCCCCTGGCGACGGTCTTTTCCAGCCGCTCCAGAGCGCCGCGTTCGCCACTTTGCCCAACCGCCGTGGGAACTTTTCCCACGCCGCAGTGTGCGGTTGGGGGCTGGAAGACGCCGGATGTGGACTCTCGAGGCTCGGGCTGTTGGCCCAGCAGGGCTGTTTGTGCCCCTTGCATTTTCACTTTTCGCTATAAAGCTGCATCACATAGAAACATGCTGACTGGAAGGCTCCGTTCGTGCAGAAGAGGCCCAGGCCGCTCCTGTCACCTGGGTGCGGGCGCGTTGCTCTTCCGTTTGCAACAGCATGTGTTCTTCATCACTTTGAGCAGCCTTTCCTGTCCCTCGATTCCCCAGCGAGGCTTGGGAATCGCGTGGAAGACACTTCTCTCACCTTGTCCGCCCGTCCCTGTAACTGCAACCCGCGCCCCGCCTCCCACGGAGCGGCCGGAAGGGCCCTGTGGGACGTGGCGACCCGACGAGGCGGGCTGGCCGCGACCCTCCGGCCCTCTGGCTCGGGCGGCTGCGTTCCACTCATCTTCCCACAAACTTGACGACGGCTTGGCGACGGCCGCCCGGGATTCCGAGGGGTCACGGGGCCAGGCTGCACTGCCTTCGCCGTGGGCAGGCTCGGACCGCAGGGAACCCCGTGCCCGGGCCCCGGCGCTTTCCGTCCCGTCGGGAGAGTGAGCAGGGAGGAGTCAGGGGACCTTTGGCGGGACCCAGGCACGCTCTCAGCCGCGGGCTCCAGGGCCTGCGTTCACAATGTGGCTTCGCTCCCTCGCAGCGGGAGCGGGCACGTTGCCATGACAGCGACCCCCGCGGCGCACGCCCTGGTCTGCCGCCCTCAAGCGCCAGCGGCCTCTCCCCGCCCCGATCCCCCGTCGCTGTGCGCAACCCCCCTCCGTCTGTGGGAAGGGGCCGGGCCTGCCGCCTGACGTCTGCGGGGCTCGGAAGATGGCTGCGGAGCCAAGCACCGGGCAGTGGCTGCGGCGGCGGCTGCGGGCCGGGAGCGCGACGGGCGGAGTCTCCGCCTTGCGCGTGGGGCGCTGAGCCGAGAGGCGCGGAGGCGGCGAGGGCGCGGGGGCTTGGAGGGCCGCTCGGCGCCGCCTCCTGCCACACCATGGGCAGCGCGGAGGACGCTGTCAAAGAGAAACTGCTGTGGAACGTGAAGAAGGAGGTAAGTCGAGGCAAGGACCCCGGGGAGCTCGCGCCCTCGCCAGCGCGGCCCAGGGGGCCAGAAAAGTCCGCGCCCACCCCCAGGCGCGGGCACCCGGGCCGAAGCTCAGCCGGGCGGGGCGGGTCCTGGATGCGCCGAGCCTCCCTCCCCTTTCTCGCTTGGGGGAGGGCAGCCCCCGCCTCGGCCCGAGGGGCCCGGCCGGCGCTCTGGGCTTGTTTGCTTCGCAGCCCCGCGGCTCCCCGCCCTGTGACGGCAGCGGCGCTGGGAGCTCGAGGCCGGGGGAGGGGTGGCGGGGATGGCTGGAACCGGAGCTGCCCATTCAGTGCCCGCGCCTCCGGGGGAGGGGGCGGGGTCCGGGCGAGCTCCGGCGGCGCAGGTGGGTGTCGCGCGGGCCGAGCTTCCTCTCGTCCCAAGTGGGTGTCGCGCTGGCTGAGCTTCCCCTCCTCTCGTCCGACGCTGCCCTCTCCGCTGTGCCTCCAGCTACGGAGTGGAGGGGTTCGCGGCACACCTCACTGTTCCCTCCACGCCCACCTCCTTACCCAGGGAACAGGGGTTTGTTTGAGAACTGTTTGTAATGCTCGGATGTTTTTCCCTTTCGAGGGAAGCTGCCTACTTCAGAAAGAGAAGCAGTCCTTCCTTCTACTGACTTCATTTACCTTGACCTGCCCAGAAACCCATTTCCATTTCGGGTGGCGGGCAGTGCCCATATGAATGACTCACTCCCATATGAGAGCTGGAGAGTTCAAGCCTGCAGCCCAGATTAGAATGAGTTGGGCCTCCTTCCCCTGCCTGCCTCTGAGGCTATTGTCTGCCCATTTAGTATACTCCACGAGGGCAGGAGACCCTCTCTTTCGTCCACAGCCTGGTATTGGGTTCCTGACCCACTGTAGGCACACCGTGGCTGTTTACTAAATAAATGTGCTGATTTTGGAGGCTTCCGGGCCTGGTGTTTGGAAAGCATACATTTTCGAATAGTCTGGACTAGTTCTGTGTGACCTTGAGTGAGTGACTTAACTTCTCCGTGTAGAGATTTCTTTCTCTCTATGCTGTCTACCTTGTGTATAAAACTTTACCTTACGCCTGTCATCCCAGCACTTTGGGAGGCCGAGGTGGGTGGATCACCGGAGCTCGGGAGTTCGAGACCAGCCTGCCCAAAACCCATCTCTGCTAAAAATACAGAAATTAGCCGGGCGTCTTGGCGCGTGCCTGTAATCCCAGCTACTCAGGAGGCTGAAGCAGGAAAATTGCTGGAACCTGGGAGGAAGAGGCTGCAATGAGCCGAGTTGGAGCCACTGAACTCCAGCCTGGGCCATAGAGTGAGACTCAGTCTCAACAAAAAGTTTCCCTTAGTGGAGCCCTTCTTAGAGTTTCAGGATTGGAGAAGAGCCTGGGCTCTCGGAAAATCCTGGAAAGCGCTAGATGGTTCTCATGCGTTAGCCATGGCCTGGTTACTATGCCCTAATGTTTGTTCCCATCCCTCCCCTTGGCAAAGATGTTGATGCCATAACCTTTCCAGCTTGTGGGAGAAACTTCATTAGATAGATCTTTGCTCTGAAGAGACCAGGGGTATATCAAATCAGCATTTAAGCCCCAATTCTCTTCTCCCAATGAAAAGAGAAATCTTGATTCTCCTCCAAAAGGAAGCAATCTGGTGACAGAGACTTGAACAGTATAAATAAAATAGAAAAGTTCCTAAACCCACACTAGAGATGGATATGCTGGGATTATAGCTGTGATCCAAATTTGGAGGTTAGTCAGAGATAATGGGAATTTTTTTTTTTTTTTTGAGACGGAGTTTCACTCTTGTTGCCCAGGCTGGAGTGCAATGGCGCGATCTCGGCTCACTGCAACCTCCGCCTCCTGGGTTCAGGCAATTCTCCTGCCTCAGCCTCCTGAGTAGCTGGGATTACAGGCATGCGCCACCACACCCAGCTAATTTTTTGTATTTTTAGTAGAGACAGGGTTCACCATGTTGACCAGGATGGTCTCTATCTCTTGACCTCGTGATCCACCCGCCTCGGCCTCCCAAAGTGCTGGGATTACAGGCTTGAGCCACCGCGCCCGGCCGGGAAATATTTTTTAAGAGGATGATGACTCTTTCCACCAGTACTTAGAAACTGGACAATACTGCTTTGAAAGTGATTCCAGAGAAAATGTGAGAAATGTCATAATATGCCACAGCTATGTATCATACCCGACAAAGGTTGACCTGCTCTGAACTCACTGGGTCTCCTTTCCTCCTTCAGTGTTTGATTTCTACAGAAACATATCCTGTCCCTTCTGAGAGGAGAAACAGCAGGGATACTGGTAGACAAGGCTGGCCTTTTGCAAAGAACCACTGGTATAATTCTAGGGGTATCTGCAGATCCTCCTAACCCCAAAATCTGCCCCATCAGCCTGCTCGAGATGCCTCCAGGTCTTTAGCTATGACATTATCCTCTGTTGAATGCAAACACCCCTTAGGAGGTAATCTAGGAAGCTTTTTTTTTTTTTTTTTTTGAGACAGAGTTTTGCTCTTGTTGCCCAGGCTGAAGTGCAGTGGCACAATCTTGGCTCATGGCAACCTCTGCCTCCTGGGTTCAAGCGATTCTCCTTCCTCAGCCTCCCGAGTAGCTGGGATTACATGCATGTGCCACCATGCCTGGCTAATTTTGTATTTTTAGTAGAGACAGGATTCGCCATGTTGGTCAGGCTGGTCTCAAACTCCCCACCTCAGGTGATCCGCCCAGCTCAGCTCCCCATAGTGCTGGGATTACAGGTGTGAGCGCCCGGCCATTTGGGAAGCTCTTAGCAATTTAGAGTACGTTCATTGATCTACCCCCATTTACCTGAGCAGTTTCCAGCAGGGAGGGGCCTCCAAGTCCTTCTTCCCGCCTCCCCAGGCTCTACCACCCTCCAAACTATGCAGTCCTGAACCAGGGTCCTGGGAGCCTGGAGAGCATCAGAACATGACATTCCTGTCCAAAGAATGGAGAAGACTAGCTCTGCCCAGGGCTCACTTTATGTGTGACATTCTATACTAGGTAATCTCTATCATCGCCAGTGCTAGTATCTGCCTGGAGCAGGTTCCCCAGAACATCAGCAGTGTTTGGCTTAAATGTTGGGAAGCATCAGAACCTCACGCATGGGAGTGTAAACTGGTATAACCACTTTTTATTTATTTATTTATTTATTTGAGATGGAGTTTCGCTCTTGTTACCCAGGCTGGAGTGCAATGGCGCAATCTTGGCTCACCACAACCACCGCCTCCTGGGTTCAGGCAATTCTCCTGCCTCAGCCTCCTGAGTAGCTGGGATTACAGGCACGCGCCACCATGCCCAGCTAATTTTTGTATTTTTAGTAGAGACAGGGTTTCACCATGTTGACCAGGATGTTCTCAATCTCTTGACCTCGTGATCCACCCGTCTCGGCCTCCCAAAGTGCTGGGATTACAGGTGTGAGCCACCTTGCCCTGCATAACCACTTTTTAGAGAACAATTTGGCAATATCTCGTAAAGCAAAGTATATGCATCAGACATTCCTTGCCTAGAAATATAAAACCAAAACATATGTTCATCAAAAGACATATCCTCAATGTTCATTCAGCAATGTAACAGCCCCAAACTGGAAACCATCCAAATGCCAGTTGGTTGTATGTTCACACAATGGAAAATGAACAATCTTCAGCTATATACAATGTGAACAAACTTCAGAATGACATAGATAAGCAAAAGAAACTAGTCACAAAACACTACACACTGAGTGATTCTA